TAGGTTAATATTTCGTCTTGTGGACCTCATTACACAGTAAGTTTCATTTTTCATTATTTTGTTATAATTTTATGGTTAAATATTTATTTTTTTGTTAAATAAAAATTCAATAATTTTTTTTGATAAATTTTTTTGAAAAATAAATTTCACATGCTTATATATATTAGCTAAGTGAACTATAAAATATTTGAAAGATATTTTAATTATTTTGAGACTAATCATGTTATTATTTTTGTTTTATTAATTTAATAAGATTATGGATGATCGTAGTTGGATGTATAGACGTCGAACTCCTCGAGGAGAAATATATCATGAGTTCTATGATGGAGTTCAATATTTTCTTCAATTTGCATATAATAGTCTTGGTTTTGGACCAAATGATTCAATTAGATGTCCTTGCAGTAAATGTTGTAATTTACCGTTGATGACTCGGGAAATGGTATGGGATGATCTTATTAAGAATGGTTTTATAAATGCTTATTCTATTTGGTGGGCACATGGTGAGACATTTATGAATTCAGCAGATCCATAGTCTGCTACTAATTTGGGTGAATCATCGCATAGCCAAGATATACAACATGATGAAAGGAATGACTTTCATCAAATGGTGTATGATGCATTTTGTCCAGAGGATGATGACCATCGGGAAATGGAAGGCAATTTCCCCAATCAACATCTGGACGAAGAACCGAACAACCAAGCCAAGGCATTTTATGACTTGCTTCATGCATCTACAATACCGCTTAGTAGTTCCAATAGAAATGAGACAGTGCTTAGTTGGTTCTCTTATATGTTGCACACTAAGACTGTAAATAATATAACTGCTGGTGCTTTTAATGCCATCATCGAAGGATGTAGGAGGTTGTTAAGTGCTGAAGATCAGGAAAAAGTCCCTGCAAATTTTTATGAAGTAAAAAAATTTATGAAAGCGTTGGGGTTAGGTTATTTAAAATTTGATGCTTGTGTTAACAACTGCTTTTTATACTATGGGGAGTCTACAAAGACATTGACCACATGTCCAATTTGTGGAGAAGCGAGGTATAAACAGAGAAATCCAGGAAGGAAAAGACAAAAGGACATTCCAAGGAATTCTCTTTGGTACTTGCCAATAATACCTCGCCTTCAGAGGCTATACATGTCTCGAAAAACAGCTGAGCAGATGACATGGCATCTGAAATGTTGTGGTGATACAAATGAAGTTATTCATCCAGCACAATCAGAAGCTTGGAGACATTTTGATCGAATGCATCATTCTTTTAAAAGAGAACCCTGTAATGTTCGATTAGGTCTTGCCACTGATGGTTTTAACCCTTGGGCTCATTCTTCAACGCCTTACTCTTGTTGGCCAGTTTTTTTGACTGTCTATAACTTGCCACCTGAGATGTGCATGCAACCGGAGTTTACATTTCTTACATTGGTCATTGCAGGTCCAAAAAGCCCAGGTAGAAATATTGATGTATTTCTTCGACCTTTAATTGAAGACTTGAAAATGTTATGGTTAACTGGTGTGAAAACATATGATAGTTATCGTAAGCGAAACTTCATAATGCGTGCTATGTTGATGTGGACCATAACTGATTTTTCGGGTTATGACATCGTGTTTGGGTGGAGCACACATGGCCAGTTGTCTTGTCCTTACTGTATGGAGATGACACAATTTTTCTATCTTCAACATGGGTATAAACCATCTTTTTTTGACTGTCATCGTCAGTTTTTATCCCAGTCACATCCTTTCAGATTTGATCATACTAATTTTTTGAAAGGTCGAGTTGAATTTGGCAATCCTCCTCCTCGATTAGATGGTGTTTCAATGCGTCATCGAGTTGAAAACCTTCCTGATGTGTTGTTTGGGAAACCCTTTGAAAACCAAACAATTGAGGGTTTTGGAAGCACCCACAATTGGGTGAAAAAGTGCATTTTTTGGGAGCTTCCTTACTGGCAGGATAATCTTATTAGACATAATCTTGATGTAATGCACTGTGAGAAGAATTTCTTTGACAACATAATACACACTATCATGAATGATAATATGACAAAAGACAATAAGAAAGCAAGCTTGGATTTAGCCCTTTATTGTGATCGAGAAAAATTGCAAATGAGATATGATAGATATGGTAAGCTTGTGAAGCCTAATGCCACCTATGCACTTACCTCAGAAAAAAAGAAACTTATATGTGCATGGTTGAAACAGTTGCGCTTTCCAGATGGATATGCTTCTAACATATCAAGATGTGTCAACTTGAATGAGTCCAAATTATTCGGGATGAAAAGTCACGATTGTCATGTTTTCATGCAACGGCTAATTCCAATTGCTTTTCGTGGTTTATTGCCTTCTGCAGTTTGGGGTCCTTTGACCGACATTAGTAACTTTTTTCGTTCACTTTGTTCCTCAATCATCAAACCTAATGAGATGCAGGAGTGGGAGGCAAAGATTGTTGAAACAATTTGTAAGTTAGAAATAATATTTCCCCCAACATTATTCGATTCTATGGAACATCTTGCAATTCATCTTCCATATGAAGCCAGAGTTGGTGGTCCTGTTCAATTTCGTTGGATGTACCCATTTGAAAGGTAAATTATACAAAGAAATTGAAAAATTATAATTAACAATTAATTAATTTTTTTTAATTAATTTTATTAATATCCTTTTTCAGGCTGATGCGCAAACTTAAGAAGACCATAGGGAATTAAAATCATGTAGAAGCATCAATTGTTGAGGCATATATATTATATGAGATATCCCAGTTCTGCTCTCGTTATTTTCGAGATGATGTTCAAACAAGCTGGAATCAGCCACCAAGAAACTATAGTGCTATTGGGAGCAACGTCCCAGGTCAGTTATCCGTATTTTGTTGCCCTAGTCAATCAATAGGTGCACACTCACGTACAAGATGTTTAACATTGGAGGAGAAAAATGCAGCTGAACTATATGTTTTGCTAAATTGCAAGGAGGTTGATGGTTGGGTAACGTAAGTTTCACTCCTTAGAATATAATAACTAATATAATTTCCATAGTCTTAATTAATGAATACATATTGTTTTTCAGTAAATTTGAAGAAGAAGTTGGTGCAAATATAACCTATGAACAACTACAAAGAGTGCGAAGAAATAGTTTTGTGCAATGGTTTAAAAATATGGTAACAAATTACTAATTTCTCAAATTTTTAATTATATATTAAATTTTCCTAAAATAAAAATTGTTTAATGTATAGGTTCTTGGTGGCCAATATGAAATTAGTGAACAACTTATCCATCTTGCAATTGGCCCAACCTTTCAAGTAAATGTTTATAATGGGTTTTATGCAAACGGCTTTAAATTTTTGACTGAAGAGTATATTATGACTAGAAAGACATATAACTGTGGTGTTTGTGTTAAAGGAACCACCATCAATTCTGAAGATGAAATTGATTACTATGGTGTCTTAAAAGAGATTATCAAGTTATTGTATTATGGACACTCAGGCCGACAGGAGACTGTAGTCTTATTCAATTGTGATTGGTATCACACGAGACGGGGAATACGCGTGGATTTTGAACACAGAATTGTTGATGTCAATCCAAGCTTCCAGTTTTCAACTGGAGAGCCATTTTGCCTTGCTAGTCAAGCACAACAAGTTTATTATACTCCATATCCGGGTACAGATAGAATTACTCGGGGATGGTTCGCAGCATGTAAAATAAAATCTAGACATCTTATTGACACCTCATCAACCTCATCTTCAGCAGAGATTGATGACATTTTTCAAGATGATGACCCCCCCATAATGCAAGGCTCTTCATTAGCTACAGATTTAGTTGCGTACCAATCACTTCAACTCCATGTAGAAGGTGTTATAGAAGTTGAGGTTAATGTCGATACATCTGAAGAAGATGAGGACTATAGAGAAGAAAAAGATTCAGAAACTTCAGGAAATAGTAGTGATAGCATTGATGAGGAGGATGATAGTGATGATTGATTGAAATATTTGTTATCATATATTATTACTCATTAAATATATGTATTGAATTTTTTTTATATATATATTGTTTTATCAAGTTGTATATTTTTCATTTAAAATAACATCATTGTATGAATGTTCTAAATTTATTATTCATTATTTGTGTACATGAATTAATAACTATTTTGCTATTCCTCTTTCAGGATGTCTAGAAATTCGGCAGGTTCGGCTAGGAGGAGATCTTCTTCCTCAGGATCCCAGGGGCAACATAATCGTGATCAGCCGCCGGTGTTCTCTAGTAGTGGCATAGCTCATGATATAGAGCAGACGAGATGTGATCCATTGATTGAGGATATGGATCATTTGACATCTGATCATGATACTGAGGGCCCTTCATCCTCGAAGGGGAAAAAAGGACGAGGTCGGAATTTGAAAGGTCTACGCCCTCCAGAGAATAGAGAGAGTAGGACCTGGGTTAAACTTACTGATGATAAGCTTCAGTTTGCTGATCCATCCATTCCTCGAGCTATCACTGCCTTATGGAAGTCACGTTTTGATGGCCCATATTTCACATTTGATCGTGTCCCCAACAACAAGATTAATGAAATTTACGCTTGTTTCAAAGTAAGATTTAATTTTAGCAAATTAAATAAAATGAATGGATTTAGCAATTTTTAATAAAAATAAATAATTTAATTACTTAACTAGAATTTTTTTTTTTTACACATTTAATATTGTTCATTTTTTATTTTGTAGACACTTTACCAGTGGGACCGTGCAGATAATCTCCATGTACGAAATGCATTTATAAATTGTATGAGGCATAGATGGAGTGACAATATGAGGGATG